TTAATTTTAAATCATGTGACGTCATTGATCCAGATCGGTCTGTTAGATCAGATCGACAGATCAATTTAACATCCCTAGTTGTAACATGTGGGATTCATAAGATTCAAAAGTTCAATGATCGCACTAATCTGAAAACAGCAATAGAACGAAATCAAAATTTCGTCATAAATTGGTAATAATACATTCTTTCTTTGAAGTTGGTGGTGCAGGAATCAATAAGTACGTTTATACGTACGTACGTACGTACAATGATCTGTGCTAATCAAAAAATAGTTATCAAAAATCAAAAGCCAATTACAGAATTATAATCTCGTAACGGTAAGTGAATATCAAAAACTCGAAATCGACTCCGGATGTTAATTCAATGGGAGATGAAGAGAACAGTCACACAGTTCACCCACGCCACCAACCTGGTATATTCAAGAGACGCAGACTTTTCTTTTATTTATAACGATACGTTATATATTATCCATAAAAATATTTAAAATGGTATTCAATTCACATTTTATTTCGTATATATGGCATTATATTATTTTCAATAGATATTGAAACCACAAATTCTAGAATGATTAGTAATTACTAAAATGACGACAAAATGCACGAATCATATGATGAAGTTTCTGAAAAGAATAATACATCTCCATTTACGATCAGTGACAGCTTGCATTTCAATTAACTATGGCAACTTTGTGCAAAAATGCTGATTCTAAAAAATGCATCATTTTATTGCCTCCCAAAAAGAACAAGCTGAAAATACTCAAATTAGCAATGTTGTAACTAATAATAAGATGGAAAAATCAGAAAGCAAAAATACTATTACCAAGATGTCCCTTCCAGACGAGTTGACGAAATTTAGACAACTTTGGTGGGACCAGGGTAATATGCACCCAAAGGCTAATTGGGAAAATACCCCGTAAATTAATTTTTTTTAAATATAATTTCATCTAACAAAAATCATTATTAATAGCATATTTTCTATACTTAAAGTTTACCTTATGAGCTCAAGTCTAACGTTAGTTGGGACCAATATGCCGAACGAACTGACAAGCATAATGTACACGGCATGTGGGAATGGAAAAATGGAAAAGTTTTCGTATATGAACTTCCTGCCGCACCTCACGAATCTGCGTGTGCTGAATTAATGCGTTCATTGAATTTTGCATTAGCTGGCGTATATCTTACTGATTATGATTTCGTTTCATTAGGATCGATGAGTGTGTTTTTTGTTTATAATTATATGTTGTTGCTGATGCTGAAAACGGCTGATGACGAAATTCGGATCTATTTTGATATGAAAATTTAAAATTCTTTTGGGGTTTTTGTCCGCTTTTTTTAGGGTTCATTTAGGATTTAGGGTTAGAATTGATAATTAAAGAGTACTGTATGTGTGAATTGCAGCAGGGTTTATATTTTCAACTCGAGACTCTAAATTTCAGCATCAACCGTTTTCAGCATCAATTGCGACGTTATATAATTCAATATG